ATCTTTGGGCTGTCCATTTAGCTGATAGCTGATTTTCTCGGAAGAGATGCGGTCATGCATGTCTGTAGTTCCGAACAGCCTTTGTCCGTGTGTTTTATGGCCTGGAGTACGAATAGCAAAGTATTGCACTCCAGCAAATCAAAGTTACTCCGCATCTTCCACATCTTTGAAGGTAAATGAAAGTATTGTTCTACTATTTCAGAGGCTATGAGACTTATCCACATCCTGGGTAGGGCGGTTCTCCACCCTGGTGTGTCTGTGTTTCAGCAAGTCTGTTTTGCAGCCCTTCCCTGCCATGGCCCCACATGGATGTGATGCTCTACCCTGTTGCTGCTTGAGGCACTGAGATTTTAATTTATTTTTTTTTCAAACGGTCCTTCCTTCCAACCTGCTTATTCCTGTGATTTGTCACTTTTCTGCTATAACTACATGTTTCTAGCACGAAGCATTGCTATAGCCAGCGTACAACGTTCCCTTCTAGCAATCTCTGGGCAGGGAGGCTGGAGCGGGGAGCAGTCGATGAGTTGTCCAAGGTCACTGACCAGAAGCTGGGAATAGACTTCAGATTTACAAGAAGGGGTTAATGGTGGATTTGGATTTGTAGCTGGATAAGGCAGATGGTTGCAAGCGGCTTACTATGTACTTAAAAGATCTCTCTGCTGTGAACTGCTGGCTAAAGTAAGGGATCTTATCTTTTTCAGGCTCCAACACATACGAAGAAGCAGCTGCGTACATCCAGTGTCAGTTTGAAGATCTGAATCGGAGAAAAGACACCAAGGAGATCTACACGCACTTCACCTGTGCCACCGACACCAAGAACGTGCAGTTTGTGTTCGATGCTGTTACAGATGTTATCATTAAAAACAACCTGAAGGAATGTGGACTCTATTGAGAAGGAAGGGGTGTAAGGAAGAAGGTAAAGCCAAACTGCTTGGCCCCTCGTAGCGTTTAAACGTTGCACGCCAGCTCGGGCTGGCTTTGTCTTGCACCTCACTAATGCTCGCTGTTTTCTTTTCAGTTTTTATGGCGTGGCGTTTTGAGAACCAGACTCTTTGCTGCCTCACGGGGACAGCTGCAAGCATGAACAGGACCAGGGAAATGAAAACAGCATGCAGAATCGTTGCATTCTTTAGCACAATCTTCTGTATTAGGGACCTTTTTATTGATATGGGATGTTGAAGTTAGGTCAAGATGGAACAACTGTTAGTGTGACTAGATCATCCTGGCATCGTTTGGATGGCGTAATCTCAAATGTGTACAGCTGTTGTGAAGTTGAGGTGCTGGATTCCAGACCTTTGATATGTAGCTTTCTCTCTTTCTTTGGTTAACAAGTCACCACTAGTCTGTTTTTAAGGTTTTTTCCATCAAGAAAACTTATAACTTTACTAAATTTTATTTCTTTATTTGCAAACAAACCTTGTTTTAAAAATAAAAAAACAACAACAACAAAAAAATCACTGAACTATGCACATGTGACCAGATCATGCAGAAAGTATTCCTCTTAGCAGGAACTCTTTGTTTTTAACACTTGGTAAGGTCAGGATTTAATATTTCTGCAACTACTTAAAGGATCCTTAGAGCTCTTAGGGCGACAGCTTCGGCTTTTTCTGATGTGTAATTTGTTACCGTCCTCCTACCATAAGGCTTTCGAAAGAAGTTTCCGCAGCAGGGTAAGCGAATCTTTTTTAGCTTACGGTTAGGGGTGAACCCGTTTTATGCCGATATCCAAATCGAGATTCATTCTGCGTGGTAAGCGTAAAGCCAGCTTCACGGTGAACGTGTACCCGGGCTGCATCCGTCAGAGAAATGAAATGCTGAGCTCCAAACTGGATGAGAAACGCGTGCTGCTACAGAGCTACTAAATCAACCACTTTTAGATTCTTGTGCGTTTTGGGCAATTTTGTAAAGGGTGCACCTTGTTCTGCATTTACCACGGCCTTTTCTGTTCAGAGACTCCTAAACTGTATTGACAAGCATGCCTTTACTTTGTATATGTGGTGCCAAATTCCTGTTTGCCATCGTTTTTACCGTAGTAATGTTCATAACCAGTCAGTACATTCCTTTGCTGAACCATTGCATCGAGACTCTTTTTCCCAGTTTGTCACGTGTACAGTTTCAGTCTGTTATAGTTGTTGGCAGTATTAAAATGGTGAGTAAACAGTTTAGCCTTTTTCTCTAGTTTATTCTTAACTTTTTCCAGCAGCGTTCCCCGCTTTTGTGCTTTGCTGGAGAAGGAAGGTAAGCGATTTGATGGGAAATGGGTGTAATTAATGGGACAGGAGGGTTACTCGTGCTTTATCCTACCCGGCTGTTGATGTTCTCTGTGCAGCCAGTTCTGCTGCTCCCAAAGACCTGGGTTGTGCTGGCACAGATGGAAAACGGCAGGCATCCGAGTCCTTCAGCGGGATTACTGGCAAATACTTAGTTTATTACTTATTTATAGCACCAGTCTTGCTGCCTCTTTTGAACCTGATGGGGAAAATGCGTGCTCTGGATGCCATTAGGTGATGTAGATGTAACCCATTTTGAAGACATTTGCCTAGAAATACGGAATTAAATACTTCAGGGATGCTTGCGGGTGCTGTCAATGCCTACCCCGTAGTATCTGCCGAGTGTCCGACGTGCAGCACAGCTCAGCCCCTACACAGAGTGTATTTCTGTTCTGGAACCTTTCCCAAGCTGTCTTGAGCTCTCCTGACTGCCTGACAATTCCCATTCAGCCTTTACTACGCTAACACACAGGATAACTCGCCTTTTTTAACTAAATTCAGGCAAACCTCCCCAGGAATTGGATTGGTGGGAGATGCATGTGTGCACCAACTGCGGAACAAATGCAAAAAAAAATGTAGAATATTCCTTGATCCAAGCTTGGGAACAGTCATAACGTAGAAATGGAAGTGGGAGAAATGATAGACATCCATCTCATGCGTATTTCTTTTATTGTGTTTTTCCTACAGTAAAATCAAGCTGTATATGTGATCTCTGCAGTGAACAGTGAGAGGATACAGGGCTTGTCTACAGTACCAGCGGAGGTTTATTTACAAACAGTAAAGAGCAAATACAGCTCTAAATAGCAGAATGAAAATCTTTCAAGTAACCATTTCCTCTTTATTTATTCTCTTGCCTCCCCCAGCCCCTAATGCCCCTGCTCCTCCCTTGGGAGCCCACCACCAGCAGTGCTCTGGAGAGAAAGCCCCTCAAGTCTTAGGGCACAAAAAAAAAAGGGGGTAAAAAACCCCAAAAAGCAACCCACACCTTAATTTCTCCTCCCAAAGGTGGAAACTCCTGGTTTTGATTAATTAAGTTTGATATAATTAAGCTTTGATAAAAGGGAGGAAAGCAGCTGCTGAGGGACCCGGCTGCGGCAGGGTGCGAGGACGGTGGCTTAATCTTAATTTTTCTGGCTGATGTACCGGGAAACCGCCTGCTCTTTGGTGTCAAACGGCTCCAGATCTCATCGATAAACGCTGCCTTTCACGCGCTGCAGAGAGCAGGGTTGTCTGTCTTTTTTTTTT